TTAGGTAAACTATTGTTCCTTTATGTATAAATATTAATTTAAGTAACAGATTTGATAGCATAATATATAGTTCACATCAACCTCCACATACCGTAAGGTGAGATCACATATTCACCAATTGGATCCAAGGAAAACTATTAAATTTAGTTTGAGTAAAATTCAGTTGCTCCTTATAGTTATACATATTATCACGAAACAGAGAATCTCAATGTGGAAGGGGTTGAGTTCTAACCATAACTCCTACTATGACTGGTACTGTGATTCGAAAATTGCTCATATAGAGGGCAAAATGCAAAAAACCCCTTGAGCTTTCTCTGATTTGCAGATAAACCCCTGAAACATTTTTGGCGAATAACCCCCTATACTACATGAAAATGTGGAAATTACCTCTTGCCGTTTATTTTCTGATAGAAAATGGATGATAAAGAAGTCATTTGCACATCACATGACATGTTAATGTCATATTTTGAGATTTTGATCAATATATCCTTTGCTATGGACTATATTACTTTTGGACAAACATACATGGGGGTTTCATCATTATTATGGAATATAATCTGTGTATAATTTATCCATTGAAATCTTAATTTGCAACTCTACTTGTACCAGTATTGGAGCTTTTCACTGGATTGATCGTGCTTCAACGTCTTTACCACTAACTGGCAAAAGCAGGTGATATTTCACTAGATCATTCTGAATTATGTAAGTGGCATTTTCTTGTTTTTCCTCTTTTATTATTCCTCACCCGACAGTAATGACAGTTATTTTCTTCATATTTTCAAATCTTTTACTGGATATGTGGTTCAGAGTTGCTGTTGAAATACTTAATATTGATCATCACATCCTCTGTATTTTGTAGATTCTGCTACTTTATAGGTAGATTATTTTATTTTTATTTTATCACTTTTCTATCCAACGGATGGGATTACAATTAGAGGAGAAAAATCCAAGTAACTATGCTCATTGCGGATTGTGTATTGAATTGGAAACCCTAGATATGATCCCTAGCTTTTCTTTCTCTTCTGATTTTTATTTGGTTTTGGCACACAATGACATATTAATTTACGGCCAGACCTTATTAACCCTTGCTTCTTTAAGACCCTATTTGACGAGCCCTCACCCTTCCCCCTTTTAATTAATCAACCCTAGCTACACAAAAAGCCCACTACCAGTTCTTTACTGTTAAAGGTATTATTCACAGCCCCAATAACTAATTTATCTTTTATATTAATGACTTCTTAATTAAACTATTTAATCACAAAAGTATCTATTGTGAAAATAATGTACTTAATAAATAAATATATTATATCTATTCACCAAAACTTACCGGCTGGGTTTCTCGTGATCAAAATAATCAAGTCAATAATACATGACTGAGCATAAATGCCACCTAGCATAAATGTCATGTTGAGAATTCTTTTACAAACTTCCACATATTAATTAATAATTACCCAAAGTACCCAGTATTTGGAACTAATGGTCCTCTGAATAAATCAAAGTAATTACTTAATTAATATGGAAGTCTATTATTCTCTCATACTTCAAAGTAATTAAGCTATAACTTAAAGGGTAATGCTTGGATCCTGCCCTATGAGGACAAAACTTGTCCTGCAATCTGACGTGGCCCTATCAAAATTTGACACTTGTCATAATCTGATGTAACATTAAAAAAATGAGCAATTTGGATCAACCCGGATACCCGGATAGAATCCAATTAGAAACCCATTTTCTCTCTCTCTCTCTCTCTCTCTCGCTCTTCTTGGCTTCCTGGTCCTCTTCTTCCTTTCTTTTTCTCAGCAGTCCCTTGAGCCTCCTTTTGAGCCATTTTCACCTTTGTCGCCGCCGTTCCCTAACATATTTAATCATATCCAAAATCATTGACCCCCATTCACTGATCAGAAATTCAATCATTTTTTTTAACAGTTCGCATATGTGTTTTAAATCCACAAATTTCCGGAAAAAAACTTAATTTCCTTTTTCTTTTTGATAATTAACAACACAGATACTTGCAATCTTGCACCCTAACAGGGACTTGAGCCCTGCACTATAAGGAATGAGTGCCTAGATCGCCAATGGAAATTCTCAGTTAAAACCCATAAACAACTTCAAAACAAATGTATAGCATACAGAAGAAAATAATCAGATTCTATGACTTACAATGACAGAAATAAGTGGCGACGAGAAGAAACCCAGAGGGCCCAAAGCGCGCCATGTGAGAGTGCCAAGCGAGAAGGCCATCCCAATGCCGGAGAGAGACAACCCAGATACGAGAAGCGGAGAACCCACAACGAATATCGCGAGATTGCAGAGGAGAGCAGATTGCCAAGAGGGAGGCGAAGATTGGGCCAAATCCATTGCTCTCTGAACGAACCCTAGAGCAGAGGTGGTTGCTTGAGCTTTGACCACCATTTTTGGAGTTTTGAAAGTTGGAGTTGGATTGAGATTTAGGGTTTCTGAAAGGGAAAGCCAAGAAGAGAGAAAGAGAGAGAAGAACATGGGTTTCTAATTGGATTCTATCGGGTACCCGGGTTGATTCAAATTGCTCATTTTTTTAATGTTATATCATATTATGACAGGTGTCAAATTTTGATAGGGCCACGTCAGATTGTAGGACAAAACTTGTCCTCATAGGGCAGGATCCAAGCATTGCCCTAACTTAAATAAGGTGAAATCATGAAGACGGCTATTTTAATTCCAAGAACTTATTCTTGATCTAGTTCAATGTGTTATATCAGAATAAAGTGACCAACTCATCTTCAAGGGGTGTGAACTAACACTTTTATGGCAAACTAATATCTATGATTCATATATCATATGCATTTATCTCCATCGTTGATGCACGCAAATCATTTAGTATTTGTCAAAGGAGCCTTGACTCAACTCTAGAGTCAAATCAATACAATCATTCGCTATATGTATATATATATGTAAGCATGCGAACCATAAAATCAGACATTCATAAATAAATAAAATATATCGAATACATTCAGTTATTGGCTTGAAGGGCATAACCAATCCCATCAAAACGCACATTCTTCTACCAAACCTCTGTAGTGTAGTCTGTACCATAGTCAACCCTTCACACTAACTAAAGAGCAAGTGCCTTTTGCATTAGGTAATAGAACGATCATCAGTGAGTGACACCTTAACTGAAGTAGATGATTGGTTTGTAGGAAGATGAGGATACAAGAAGTAATATGGGCTGGATATGATCCGCGGACGTGGCATCGGGTCAAACAATTGAATTCAGCCCATACAGGAGCACCACAGAATGGGCCGAGCTCGGAGGATCCATCGAAGAAGGCCAAGCCCACTGGAAAGAAGGCCCAAAGCTGATAGTCCAGCAACACTTGTAATTGCCTATAAATAGGCAGTGAAGAGAGTAAAAGAGGGGAGATTATTGTGAAATGTACTGAAATTCTGTCAAAATGGAGGGAGAGATTTTCTTGCATTTACAATTGGCACCGTCTGTGGGAATCACGAAGAAGATCGATTCGAGCTTAATCGATATCAAGTTGATTCAAGCAAATTCGTGAAAACAAAGCTTGATTTCTGGAAGTTGAATCCAGATCAAAGAGATTGCAGTTCCTCCATTAAAACACCTTGAATTATTATAATTTTGATTTGTTCAATCGTAGCTGGATCCGGTGAGTTCAAAGCTAGAAAAGCTCAGATTTAGCAAACGGTGACCACGATTCGGTGAAGTTGAGTCCAGATCTGACGGAATTTGCACTGGTGACGCTCAGATCTGATTAGGAATTTGTGATTCATGCCTTTGCTTCGCTCCGGAATCATGATAAGAGGTGAGAGCTCCAATCCGATGGAGAATGTCCAGCAGATGAAGCTAGATGAGTTGATGAATACGATCGAAGCTCTCCGAAAAGAGAATGCGGAGCTAAGAGCCGGAATGCAACGTCAAGAAGCTCCAGTGCTCCCGCGACCGCTTCCGGCAGGCGACGGAATTGTACATCCCGATCTTACACAACCACGGTGAGGAGGTAGGAAACAATCAGACGGATCTTCACCATGAAGAGGTCAGGCCAGACGATTTGCCGCCAAATCTCCGTCGTGTTGATGAGCGAGAAGACTCGATTCACCTGAAACAAAGGCGTGAACAAATCAGGCGGAACGAGGCTAGGACTTCCGATCCGTATCCAGAAAGATTCGACCGAGAAGGATCTATGGAGTTTGGACACCAAAAGGTTGCACCGATCTGGCAGGAGGAGTACATTGAGGAAACGTCATCTGATCCGCCTTACCGGCCTTCAGTGGCTACGTTTGATTGCCGAAGCTCGGAAAGGAGATTCACTGATCCGAGATTTGCAGCAGCAAGCCAACTAGAGAATGAGGCACTACGTTCAGCAGCTTGGACGGTTGAGTCGCCGTTTACTGATGAAATTCTGAATGCTCCGAATCTGAGGAAATTCTCTATGCCGGTTTTCATTCTGTTTGACGGAACGACTGATCTGGTTGATCATGTATATCATATCCAGTTGAAAATGGCTTTGAACACCGAGAACGATTCTTTAATGTGCAAGTGCTTTCCAACCAGCTTGGCTGGACTAGCGCTCAACTGGTTCAAAAACTTGCCGAGGAGTTCGATCGATAGTTTCCGAAGCCTTTGTGATCGGTTCATAAGTCAGTATTATGGAAATAAACGCCCAGCAAAAGATGTCTCCAGTTTGTTCACAATGAGGCAGCATGAGGATGAGCGTCTCCAAGCCTTTCTTACCAGGTTCAACTTAACCAAGAGCATGGTGATCGAATGCCATCCCTCTACAGCGGTTCAACCATTTAAGTTGGCCATGACTCGTGGCACTCCATTTCACACAAGCTTGGTGGTGAATACACCAAGGACGATGGATGAACTTAATGAAATAGCTGATGGTTTTGTACACTTAGAAGAAGAAGAAGCAGCTAACGCTCGGAAGACATCCATAATAACAACATAAGAGAAAACCAAAGCAAAAATTAGGCAAAAGCAGGCTCAGCTACAGTGTCAAGGCTGATTACTCCGCTGAAAGTCACACTGGTAAGGCTGTACCAAGAAAATAAAGATAAGTTCCGACCTCCTTTACCTATCAGAGACCCTCGAATTATACATCTCGAATTATAAATTTATTAACCAAACTTAGTGGCGGCAACAACCATTCTGATAAATAGATAGGGTGGTTTTGATTACTACTACCACCATCATCTGCATGCAGCAAAAAAAAAAAAAAAAAGCAATAAATCAATTTCTGATTCAATAAATAAATAAACTAATCGTCCATTCTTTTTCTTTTAAAGCAGGGAAACAAAATCAACCACAAGTGGGCTTCATTCAAACCTGAAGCTCGCACAAGTATTCTGTGTGTAACAAAGGACTGCAATGACCAGAAACAATAATTAAGGTTATAATCATGAAAACAGAATACTTAAATAATGATTTCGTTATAATTGCATGCAAGTACTTCTGTTTTCTTTTTCTTTTTTCTTTTTTACTTTCATACTCCCACTTTGTCCCTAATGGGACTCGAACCCTCAACATCCACTCTGGGGAGAAAACGGTACGCCACTAGGGAACAACCCATTGGTTAATTGCCTAATGCCTATAATTATACAGAAACGAAAACTACTTGCATTTCAAAACTTCAGGACAATCAATCTTGCAAACATACAAAATCGTTCACAGCAGATTTTCAGTTTAATTCAGGTATATAAATGACTATAATTGAACTTCATGCATTTCACTAGAAAGTAAATAACGAGCCTTTAAAATTTAAAATATACACTTTAAATCACCAGTCTTTGGGAAGTAAAGAATTGTCCGTCTCAGGGCTCTAGTCATGAGAGGGTTCTGGGAGAAATAACTCAATGCAGACCTGACATTCCATATAGTCATACTTCTAAGGCCTGAACTTGTAAGAGGCACCAATTTGCAAGCTTATTATTGTTGAACCAGGCAATGCCTTCGGCAAATAAATTCATTATAAAACATAGTCAATTCCTTTTTTCCTTTTCTTTTTTTTTTTTTTTTGGGGGGGGGGGGGGGGGGGTGGGGGTGATATATGAATAGATACAATAATGCATACATGCACTTTGCTCATTAAAAAAACAACCAAACAATTTTTCTCATTTAAATCTAAAATTAACTGCTTAAACAATAACAAACAGATATATACTCATAAATATTTTTTGAAGATATATATTCATAAAATGAAGAATGATACTCAACAAATGATGGATGATTACCTGCCAGACAGCAGGCATATATTCACGACACGACAGTTTTTCAGGATCACTTCTTATAGTTCTCGAATTTGAGACATTTTGTGAAGGCCATTTTCTTGAATACCTATTAGAAACACTATTTAACTTAGGCAAGCATACAGATCTGAAAAGCAAATGCTGCCTCGTGAATATATATTACCAGTATAAACTATCAACAATCAAGGTCTTTGAACTTAAAAACAGAAATTGTTATAAGAATTCAAGTGGAATCATAGGCTTTAAACTAGTGCCACTAAAGAGAGATCAATTTCTTGGTTTATATTGAGTTTGTCCAACATAGCCAATGTAAAAGAATACACTCCTTTTTACTCTCTCGGTAAATGAACTTTCTTAATAGATGACAATGGAGATGATATAGCCCTAAATGAGAATATTGGGGGGGGGGGGGGGGGGGGGGGGGGGGGGGGGGAGATACCCAATGAGTATGTTTTACAAGAGAAAGAGACGCACATAGATTTACCTACATGGTACACTAACTTCTTTAAATCATATGGATTTTTGTCAGTATCTTGTGTGCTTGCCCAGAGAAATGAAACAACATATGTTACAATCTGTCACATGTTCACATTAAAGGACCAATAACTCAAATTCCTTCACATTGCAAAGAAATAAAACCCAAATTCTGGGTCTTTCCAATCCCAAAAGAGTAAGAACTCACCTGTTAACTTCCTTTGTTGAATATTTGTCACCTAAATTAGCCGCTTTTGTAGCTAAAACAAGCATGGGATTCACCAGCAGAAGCTTTCGGATCTCTTGAACAACAGTTTCTGACACATTTTGAAAAGAGAAGCTTTTCCTACGCATCAGACAAAGTTGTAATTGTGAGACAAACCCCCCTTACCAAGCCATCATTAACAGATGGCTACAAGCTATCATATATATATATATATATATTATGCACATACAAATGGCAAGAGAGTTATGTGTATGAACATGTAGATATAAAATGATAATAAAGTGAACCTGCAAAAGAAGAAAAGAAATGGAACAAATTTATACATATAAATTTGATTAGCATGTTGTTTAAGGCCTAAGAACATATCAAATTCAGACCAGTTCAAGGTACAATGCAATTCAATCCATTAAAATATAACTCGAGTTTAAAGTACTCAAATCTTCCATACATTTAAAAAAGATAAAAAGAATAGAACATTCAAGTCCGTTGATGAATATAAGATGCAAGAACATTCAAGTCCGTTCAAGGTCATGGCCACTTGCGTGTTGAAGCCTATATTGATGTTGATTGGGCCAGGTCTGTGACAAATCGACGATCTACTTCAGGATATTGCACATTTGTTGGAGGTAATCTTGTTTCATGACGAAACAAGAAACAGTTAATAGTAGCTAGATGTAGTGCAGAGGATGAGTTCAGGTCCATGGCACATGGAGTTTGTGAGTTGTTATGGCTACGAATGGTGTTGGGTGAGTTGGGTTATCCTATTCGCGAGTCAATGAAGTTGTATTGTGACAACAAGGCTGCTATTAGCATTGCTCACAATCCAGTTCAACATGACAAGACAAAGCACATTGAAGTCGATCGACACTTAATCAAGAAAAAGCTTCGTTTTGGGCTGATTTGTATTCCATATGTCAACACACATGATCAGGTTGCTGATGTTTTGACTAAGGATGTGAGCAAGACTTGCTCACAAAATATGTTAGTAAAGTTAGTAAAGCTAGGCATGATAGATATCTTTGCACCAGGTTGAGAAGGAGTGTTGTCAAGGGCTTATTTGTTATTACTTGTATAATATTGGGGCTTATGTGTAATTTCTGAAACTTGGATGTGGTGTGATAGCCCAGTGGTAGGGCATGTGTTGCTTGTGTGGCCAAAGGCCCATGTTCGAATCCTCACTCCATCAGTCATTATTAGTAAATAACTATTTAATTAAATTATTTGAACAAATTAGGTTTTATGTTATCTTTTCTTATACAAGCAAGAGACTTGGTATTCTTTTTGTGTTTTTTGTCATTTGTCTCAACAACTAACTTATTAAAAAAAAAAATATGTGTGTAATTTCTTAAACTTGTTAATATAAATAGAATGTGGTGGAAGGAAGAAAGTATTCTCTCTCTCTTTCCCCATCTCTCTTTTTTTCTCTCATCCTCTTTCTTCTCTTTTTCTTCTTCTTCTTATACTTTGTTCTTGATTTGATTATCTCTTAAAGTTAACATGGTATCAGAGCATGGTTTGTAAAGCTCTAGGTGTGTAGTTGAAACCTAGGGCAAGTTTATGTAAACCCTAGTGGGTGTGAAAGGTTTTGAAGAGATTCCAAGATGGGATTTGTTTGCAAGGAAGTAGTATTAATCACATCCACACGTACCGCGGATCCAACTCGATCGGAGTTTTTTTCGATCTGTTTTTGATCTATTGAAGTCTCGATTGGTGTTTTTTTCGTGTTTACGTGGTTCTACAACAACAGCTTTTTCTTTGTCGTTCGCGATTCTGGTATAGTCCATTTTGTTGCTTTCTAGGTTTTGTGTGGTGACTGTGTGGTCGCCTTTTTATGCATCTCAGAAGATAGTAATCTTTCTAGTTGAAGTTTGTGTGTTAGAGAGATGGTTCTCTACGTATTTTGTTGCTGCTTTTGTTTCTGAGGATTGTATACCCGAAAACTATTTGATAAAATGTCTGGCTCAAAGGTGACTTCAAAAGAAGCTGGGTTTGCTCTTAGTCTAACTTGAGTATTGGGAGGTGATGGTGATCACGATCCAGGCCTTTGTATTACGACTGTTAGGCTGGATGAGATGAACTATATAGAGTGGGCTCAATCTGCTCGTATGCATATCACATTGTAGGATGATCGACCACATCAAAGGGACTGTAATGTATCCCTCTAAGAGTGATCCTGAGTTCAAAGAGTGGAGAGTGCAAACAATGCACTAATTATGACGTGGTAGTTGCAGTCAATGCAGCCACAGATCAGCAAAGGGTTTCTGTTTGTGAAACAGCTAAAGAACTATGGACGGCTATGGAAGAGACATATTCCTCAGTAGGTAATTTTACAAAATTGTATGAACTCCAACAACAGATTTCAAGATTCAAGCAGGAAGACCAAACTCTTGCTACATATTACCATCTACGTGGTAAATGGGAAGAGTTGGATCACTACCAAGACTACATACTTGTGTGTGCAAGTGATGTTAAAGCATTTCGTGTATGGGGCTTATCTAAAACTTGTTAGTTTAATAGAATGTGGTGGAAGGATGAAAGTATTCTCTCTCTCTTTCCCCATCTGTCTCTCTTTTTCTCTCATCCTCTTTCTTCTCTTTTTCTTCTTCTTCTTCTTCTTATACTTTATTCTTGATTTGATTATCTCTTAAAGTCAACACAATGTACCTTACTCCACAAGTATACCATTTCAAGTATGCCACTGACGGTCGAGTAAAATAGCTAATCTTCCTACAAACCAATCATCTACTTCAATTAAGGTCTCAATCACTAATGATCTTTCTATTACCTAATGCAAAGGCACTTGCTCTTTAGCTTACGTGTTAAAGCCTATACTGATACTGATTAGGCAGGGTCTGTGACAAATCGACGATCTACTTCAGGATATTGCACATTTGTTGGAGGTAATCTTGTTTCATAGCGAAACAAGAAACAGTCAGTAGTAGCTAGATGTAGTGCAGAGGCTGAGTTCAGATCCATGGCACATGGAGTTTATGAGTTGTTATGGTTACGAACGATGTTAGGTTAGTTGGGTTATCCTGTTCGCGAGTCAATGAAGTCGTATTGTGATAACAAGGCTGCTATTAGCATTGTTCACAATCCAATTCAACATGACACGACAAAGCACATTGAAGTCGATCAACACTTCATCATGGAAAAGCTTCGTCTTGGGCTGATTTGTACTCTATACGTCAACACACATGTTTTGACTAAGGGTGTGAGCGAGACTCGCTTGCAAAATATGTTAGTCAAGCTAGGCATGATAGATATCTTTGCACCAGCTTGACGGGGGGTGTTGTCAGGGGCTTATTTGTTATTACTTATATAATGTTGGAACTTATGTGGAATTTCTGAAACTTGTTAGTTTAATAGAATGTGGTGAAAGGATGAAAGTATTCTTTCATTCTCTCTCTCTTTCCCCATCTCTCTCTCTTTTTCTCTCATCCTCCTCCTTCTCTTTTACTTCTTCTTCTTATACTTTACTCTAGAATTGATTCTCTCTTAAAGTCAACACAATGTACCTTACTCCACAAGTATACCATTTCAGGTATGCCACTCATGGTCGAGTAAAATAGCTAATCTTCTGTAAATGCAAGAAAATCTCTACCTCCATTTTGACAGAATTTCAGTACATTTCACAATAATCTCCCCTCTTTTACTCTCTTCACTGCCTATTTATAGGCAATTACAAGTGCTGCTGGACTATCAGCTTTAGGCCTTCTTTCCAGTGGGCTTGGCCTTCTTCGATGGATCCTCCGAGCTCGGCCCATTCTGTGGTGCTCCTGTATGGGCTGAATTCAATTGTTTGACCCGATGCCACGTCCGCGGATCATATCCGGCCCATATTACTTTTGGTATCCTCAACTGCCCCCATAATTACTCCCTAATTAATTAGGGGGTAATTATTAGAGGCTGCTAATCATGGCTTAACGGCTCGACAAGATCTCTTGGGAGAATGAATGGTTGGATTCGGGAATCGACGCTCCGAGATTCAAAAAAAAAACTCCTCGGTTTCCCGAATCCTTGGTCTTCGGGCCCACCTTGTCTTTATAAGCCTCAGGGATGTTCCATCAATCTTCTTTACCATCTCTATCTTGCTTTACTGTTAATCAAACCCTCATCCGTCTCTTCCGAATCAAATCTTCTCCGGCGGTTTCTTGCAAAAGCTCCTTTGTCCAGTGACCTTGCAGTGCTCTCTGACGTTTTCACTTTTTGAGGTTAGTTTTGTTTGCCTTTCTCTTTCAGAAGACCTCTTTTTCTCCCTTCAAGTCTTCATTCATTCTCACCATGACTATAGATCTAGATATTCTTCGCATGAGACTTCGTCTTCCTGACAATATACAGATTAGAAATTGCCCTAAAGAGGTGGATATTAGAACTGGTGCTGGCCTTCTTCCCGACGAGGTTCTATTTTCCCATCTTCATCTTAACCTCATTAGGTTCCCTCTGCATCCCTTCTTTAACTATGTTTTTAATAAATTAGGGCTTTCCCCTCTGCAGGTAAACCCCAATTTCTTTAGAGTATTATCCGTTCTGTTGCTTCTGATCCGTGACAGAGGTCTAGATCTTGATATCATAGATCTTCTCCTCTGTTACAAAGTTAGCAAGATCCGTTCTGATGAACCGTTTTACCACTTCTACCCGATCGAAAAGAGATCTATATGTAAGGACAAAATCAAATCCGAGAAGGGTTGGAGAAAAAACATAATAGGGGTTAGAGGGCTTGGTCTTCTCCAGTTACAGAGGACTTTCCTATCCCGAGCGCCTTTGGCGAATGCTCGGTTTCTTCGTATAAGAAATTCAAAACGCATAAAAGTGACTGTTCTTGCAAAATTTGTGTCCCTCGCTTCTGTACTTTTCTTTGCCATTCCCTAAGCATTCCTTATAATGACTTGGGTTATGGTGTTTGCAGGGATAGGATCAACTACCTGAACGAATACGTTGTAAACAACATCCCTTCCTGCTCAGATCTCCTTACTTCGGATAACCACTTTAATATCTCAGTTATTGGTAAAAACATGAGCCAGCTTCGGATTCCTTCCTTCGGCAGGAGGAAAGATCCTCCGAGGGTTACTGCTACTTCCGCTGTAACCTCCTCTTCGGCCTCAGCATCATCTTCGGCCACTATTTC